AGCAGCCCAGGCCTGAACCTTCAAGAACTCACTTCTCTACCCTAACACGCCCCCTGCTCCTGTCCAAAGCAAAGGAGGTGTCCCTCTCCTTGAGGTGACCCCTGCTGCCAAGTTGGGTGAACCCCCCCCACAAACAGAGGCCACAAAGCATTAGGATGGGAGGCCCCCAGCCTCCCTTCACAGAAGCAGCGACTATGAGACTGCTCCGGGGGACCCTGGGCTGGATTTCCTTGTTCGCCATCAGCATGGACACGGCACACGGAGAGTCCAGCTGGTTGAGGTTCTTAACGAAAATCTTCGGTCTCCCGAAGGTAGGAGGACTTTGCAAGCAGCCTGACCCTCAGGGATGCTGACTGCTTCTCAGTGGGAAAAGATAAAAGAAACAAAAGGACTGGGGCCCAGAAAAAGATCTGTGGCGAAGCCACTGGGCAGTATTTCTCGATGTTTGCAGAACACAGGAGAGGAACGAGTTTCTATTAGAAGCGGGATTTCAGGCACAGGGAAAAACTCCTTGGTTGCCATGGATACACTCCCTGGGCAGACAGCGGGTGGGAGCTGGGCGCAGCGGCCAGGACCGGCTGCCGGGATGCCCGGGGCTGGGAGCTGGCCCGCCCACTTCCCTCTAGACACGAGTGGCTCCCGGAGGCCCCTGCTGGCAATGCTCCCGGGACTCCAACCACAAAGTGAACCCAAACAAGCCAGGGGTTGAGAGAGGTCGCATCCAGCCCTAACAGAAACTTGGCAGTCAGAAGTCAGGAGGCCGAGTCCTGGGAACTCAGACCCCAGGATTTACACAACAAACGGGACCTGCCCAGACCTGGCCTCCCGGTGTGTCCTTTCTGGTGTCGAACTCAGACCTCAGCCCGGAGGGCTGCAAACCCCCGTCTCTGGGCTGGCTCACTCCGGGAAGGAGGCACCCTTCCCTCCCAGCTTCCTCTCTCCCCACGCGGACGCCGGGAGCCTGCAGTGTTCTGCCCCGTGTTTTCACTAGGTCTGCCCGGAGGTGGATGCCCCCGGGTACAGCTTTCCCGTCCCGCCTTGCTGCTCGGATTCCTCTGCCAGCGGCTTCCCGGCGGGGAGGGCAGGAGAGGGTTCCGGGAAAGCCCTCCACAGGAGGCAGGGCTGGGTAGGAGGTGTGCACCTTGCCCGCGTGCGGCCTCTGTCCCTCGTGCACCTGGTGAATTACAGCCGTTCACGGAGTGGACGCTGTCAGGGGCTGCAGGGGACGCACCAGGCGGGAGATGCAGTCCCGGGCCCTCCCGCTGTTTACACAGGAAGGGGAGAAGGTGGGACCCAGTGCCGGGCCGGAAATGCCTAGTTCCAGAGAACGGGGGTGTGAGCACCGCAGGGAGGCCCGAGGAGGCCAGGAAAACCTAAGCCACCCAGTGCCAAGGCAAACACAAGTAGTTCTTCTGAACTGGCACCTCCAAGTCAGCGTTCAGGCCATTGAATTCTGCAGAACTCATTCCCAGAGGGCTGGAGAGCTCTCAGCAGGACTGCAGTGTCCCGGGTTCACCTGGCTTGGCAGAGCCGTGACGAGGCATCAGCACATGGGGTCTTGTGAGCCCTCACGGGGGTGGTGCCGTGAGAACCCACCCAGCCCACCCGGTTTTCACTCACTTACCACCTCATGGAGCCTCTGCGCAGCGCTATGAGCACCAAGGAGAGATAGTTTCCCATTTCACAGACAGAAACTCAGGCTCAGAGTGGTCCAGGCAGAGCTCAAGGGTCCACAGCCAAAGGGCTCGCAGCCAGTGCCCATGACGGCTGTGCCCCACAGGCCACTCTCAGCTGACACTGGGGTCCAGGTGGGACTCCCAGGAACACCCTGGGGGGTCCTCGGGTCCCCACGTGGCCACACCCTTCAGAGGTAAGAAATGTTAACCCATTTTACAGATTGGAAAACAGCGGTTTAGTGGAATCAAGTGACCTACTGTGATGACACCCAGAAAAGGTGGAGACTGGAGCCCAGGCACCTCGGGGACACATTCTGCCCTCTCAGAAGACACAGATGTGACCCTCAGCTGCCGGGAGATCTGGCATTTCCCCAGGGACTCTGACGCCCTGCGGCACAGGCCAGAGCCTGGCCTCCAGACCTGCCGCATCAGGTGAGACACATAAATCCCAGCCTCTGCCCCAAATCTCCTCCGTCTGAGACTCCGGTGGGGAGGGGGGGCAGGGGTCTGTGTGGTGGTCACAGCCCTCCCGGGGCTGTAACACGCCTCCAGGTGAGAAGGGCCGGAGATCCGGAGGGGCAGCCGCTCGGCGGGCGGGTGCAGAGCCTTCCTGAAAGGGGCCGCGCGCAGACCCCTCCATCAGCCTCGCCCTGGGCTGCAGAGAGGACGGGGCGGGGTCCGCGTGGGCCTCGGGGACGCGTGCCCTACAGGCCAGCGCTGGCGGGCGGTGAAAGGGGCCGCTGA